ATTCTTTTTCTTTTTTTTTTTTAGTGCTGAGGATTAAACCCAAGGCCTTTGCCCTGAACTATGTCCCCAATCATCAATATTGAAACCTTGAGTAACTTTTATGTGCTCTAGTTGCAGAGGCAATGTGAGGCTAAATGAGTGAGTGAGTAAAGTAGCTTTAACTAAAGCATCATAGGATATAAATTCAACCCATTTTGGAAGCTGTTCCCAGTGATGCCATTTCCTAGTATTTCTTTTTTTTATTTTTTTTGGTACCTGGGATTTCTTTAAAAGTTCCTGGATTCCATTTTCCCTGTCCCCTGGCTCTTCCTTCTATGCATTCTCTGGGACACTTCATCTGTTCTAATGGTTTTAACTGCCACCTATGACTCATAAATCTGGTCCAGATCTCTCTTCCAGTTTCAGACTTCAGCACCCCTTCCAAACCCGTCCAAAACAGCACTCTTAATCCTCTTTCATAATCTGCTTCCAGCCCAAACCTCTGGTTTTATCTTGTGGATTCTGTCTTGAACTTTATGTTGTGATAAGAATAGCTATTGGTAGAGTACTTGCTGTCTTCCTTTGCATTTTGCACATTTTTTTCCTTGTCTAATTTAATTTTCATCACATCTGTTTGGAATGAATATTATCCTATTTTGCTTATGAAATTTTGAGAAGTGATGTGTCCAAGGTTACATAGTTTGGAAATAGCAAATCTGGTACTTGAATCCAGATCTTCCTAAAACCAGGTTTGTAACTGTATATAAGAGAACGTCACAGTGCCTTTTACGTTACTTATTACTAAAACAAATATACTGTAAATCTTACAATACTAAGAACCTTTTCCATCACAGAGCCCTTGGTATGTAATCAAGGACTTAAGGACAACTGTAACAGTAAGAGTGAGATTAGCATTTCTAACTTCTGCAATATCTCATTGTTTAACTGCTTGAAAGTACTGGTTTCTTAGGTACAAGTGTGTGTCAAGTCCCCTCAATGAATAGTTGTATTCAGTTGTTCTGTGTTCTCTTTCATTTAAGGATGTTATACTGAGATGTGCTCTTAACTCCTGGGTTTAGGGTATCTTCTCATATAGCATCCTTCATCTTCATCCTCCTATCTTTGCCTACCCTGGGCTAGATGAAGCCCCTTGCTCTGTATTTCTTTATCATCTTACATAAACATATCAACACTTAGCACAATATATTAATATTTGTGTTTTAGTTGTTCTTGATGAGCACTCTGAGATAGGAATTATGTCTGAGGCATTTTTGTGTCCATAATGCCTAATGTGCTTTTATGGAATTATTGTCTGAACAAATTACTAAATGGTGGATTTTATTGGAAATAGTAAATCTGGAAATAGAACCCAGCTCTCTCTAAGACCAGGTTTGTGGTTGTATATGAGAGAATGCCACAATCCCTTTTATGTTACTTATTGCTTTTTTTTCTGATGGTGAAAACCTAAGAACACTGCACATTATCCTTTTCAATTTGAGAAGCTAATATAATTGATCACTAATCATAAGATTAGAAGATAGTTTTTCATTTATTGTTATATAGCAACACAGCCATACTATATATACCTGCTGATAATTTAAAAAGCTATAATAGCTATTTTTAAAAGCTATAGCAGCATGTTCATTTTACATGTGTTAAATAGGTTGCAGTTCTTTATTGCTTTAAAAGTTGCATAGACTTTTGAGCTTTAGGTAAATATTAACTTTTCAAACTCATTTTGTTTTCCAAATATAAATATAATGGTTTGCTAACAGGCATTGTAATAATTCATGCTGTGATTTTTATTTGTGTTGCTATTGTTATGGATTATTCAGTGAGGCTTTAATTACCTCACATATTTAATTAAAGCTTTTTTCCAAGTTTTTAACATAATCTTAAAAATTAACTAGTTCTTTTTTATTTTTATTTTTATTTTTTGGTACGGGGGATCGAACTCTGGGTCCTGCCTTTGCGAGTCAGGCGGTGGCACCACTAAGCTAAATCCCCAGCCCAAAAATTCACTAGTTGGAGAGTAGTCGAAGTACAAATAGAAATCCAGAGAGACATTTCTTTTCAGTCTCAGCATGATTATAATTTTCCAAAGTGATTTTCATCATTGAAGTGCTTTTTGCTTTGTGTGAACTTAATAGTTTATTTAAAAAGGCAAGCTCGCCAGGCGTGGTGGTGCATGCCTGTAATCCCAGCACTCGGAGGCTGAGGCAGGAATATTGCTGAGAGTTCAAGAGCAGCCTGGGCTACATAGTGAGTTCCAGGTCAGTCTCAACTACATAGTGAGACCCTGTCTCAAAAAAGAAAAAAAAAAAAAGAAAAAAGAAAAGGCAAGAGGCAAGCTCTTTAGATAAAAAATAATGTATTTGGTAGCATTAAAAGCCGTGCTAAGGGCTGAGGTGTAGCTAAGTAGGTAGAGCATTGGCTCAGCACGTATGGGCCCGTGAGTTTGATGCGTAGCATCACAAAAACAAACGAAAATATAGTAAAACAAACAAACTAAAATAAAAGCAATGTTAAAATGTGCTATATATGTAAGTTCTTAAAGTGAAACATTGACAAGAAAATATGTCACCTATATAATAATGAATAGGGGCCATTTTCCTTTCAGAAAACAAAGTATGTGAAAAAAGTTTCATGATGTTTTCCTAGATCTGCTGATGTAGCAGATGTATATTTGTGCTATGATCTTGGGCTTCTAGAATAGACTGTCATCTGCTTTCTTCCCATGGATGGCTGCAGATGCTTCCCCTTTGAACAGCTATCCCACATTACTGAAATTATCTCTCTAATTCTGTGTTTTGTTTTGCTACATTCTAAGACTTATGAGGGCCAAGAACTGTAGCTTTTTGTTTGCTGCTGTAGAATCAGTGATAACTATTTTTAGGATAAATGTTGCAACATAAGCAAAAAACATGGATATGTTCTCCAGAAGTAATTGTTTGGGATCATGGTGATGTTTAAAGCACTGCAGACCTTGAAATGTATTATGAATAAGTACAGAATAATTCAGATAGATTTAATATTAAGATTGTTTTAGAGTAATTCACTGCTTCTAATAATTTGAATTACCTGAAACTTGTATTTAAAATGCTCCATTATTCATCTTCTCTATATAATCATTTATTATACTTTGTTCAGGAAATCATTTTGTATTTAAATCTTATGCTGTCGTATTTGTTAGCCTGTTTATTCAATTCATAATTATGAATTATTTAAACAAAATAATAAAATTAGATTCTAAATATCTAATAGCTTCCTTACAAAGTAAATTCATGTTTTGTAGGTTTGAAAATGCAGATAAAATTTTCACATAGTTAGAGGAAACTGGACTTTACATATTACCTCATCTCTATAGATTCACAAACCTACTGTGACTCTCTTTTCACTGGTATCATCACCAGCTGGTTAGGGATGGGGCGGAGAGTGGTGCTTATTGTGATTTACCTTATTCTTAGACTGAATCAAACATAGTAAGAAAGTTTCTTTATGTTTATTCTTGTTTTGTTTTGTGGTGGAAGTCTGTGCTTTAATCAGCCAGAGCATCTTAAGTACCTTAACACTGATATGTGACGTAGAGAAATTGGTCAGTGACTATTTAATAAATGACCAGTTTGGCTTTAACAAGGCTAAGTTTCTTCCTCAACTTGTGACCACTTCCTGGACTGCCTTGCACCTCGACTGCTGTCCTTTCTTTTTTATATGGACTCTCTTAATGTATATGGAATTCAAGAGAAAAAGAAAAAGACCGTGTTCAAGAAAGCCAGGCCTAGAAAAATTGAAGAACACTTTTTACCGCTATCTGACTTGTTTTTAATCTTCTTTGGCATTATTGTCAATGAAGAATAAATATACTTACACTGTACTGTATAGTATTGTTGGCCTTTCTTGTCATTTTTTTCTAAGTTTTTGAGACCGGCTTTGCTATGCTATGTAGCCAGCCTTGAACTTGCATCTGTCCTCCTGCCTCAGTCTCCTGAGTGCTGAGATTACAGGTGTGCTGCACCATCATGTCCAGTTTTCTTTGTGATCTCAACATGGCAGTTATGGTCTCTCATGGCTTTCTCTCTCATTCCCAAATCCATGGTGGTAATGGACCTTTTTCATGTGCAAAGGCTCAGCCTGGAACTGAATCAATAAGGACTGAATCACCAAATTAATAGGAGTATTGTTATTGATTTATTCCTTTATTCCTTCCCCTGGTTTAAGTAGTTCCTAGGAATTGGTTGCTTCAGATTCTGATTCTGAATCTGTAATTGATTAGTGGTATAAACTTTGGCAAATTAATTATTGGGCTTATGCTTCAGATATAAAATTAAACTTGATTTTTGTTTTGCTGTAAGAAGTTTAGCTAAATAATATCACCAGAAATATTTTAAACTTTATAAGTGTAAGAAGGTTCTTTTAAATTATGTTAGTACTTACATTAGAAATAGTGCTATATTATATTTAAGATTCATATTTAATAAGGTGTTGAATGTCTAAAAACAGTTGAACCTAGGACATAGCAAAAATTCTTTTCTTGTACACTTTTTTTTTTTTTTTTTTTTTTTTTTTTTTTTGCTACTGGGGATCAAACTCTGGCCCTTGCACTTGCAAGACAGGCAGTGGAACCACTGAACTAAATCCCCAGCTCTTGTGTACTTTTATAAGATAAATAGATTTGTGATAATCCCTAGAACTAGATTATCAAAAACATCAAGTCTTTATCCATGATAAATAACTCAGGGCTACATTTCTTATCCCTGACTTCCTTTCTGTTTTCCTTCTTTTATTCTTCACTGCCCCTTAGATTAAATCTGTTGCACAATTTTGCTTTATTTGTTTAGAGAACAAAAGAATAACATTGTAAAGATATTTTTCATACATTTTGCTTTTGAATCTGTATTTTGTCATTGTACCTCATAACATCCAAGAGATTGTTCTCTTTGAGTGTTGCTTCAGTGAATGAGTTTTTTTAACTATGCCAGATTAACAAAGAAAGTGATTTTTGATTTTTTTGTTTTTTTAAGAAAGGTGACTCTTGTGATGGTGGGACTTGATAATGCTGGTAAAACGGCAACCGCAAAGGGAATCAAAGGAGGTAAGCTAAAAATCTTTTTATGTTTTCTGAACTGTATTAAATTTTTCTGAATTATATACTTATCTATGTTAAATTGTTTTAGTACATATTAATTGGCACAGGTAATATGTACTTCATTATCTTACATTCTTAATATACCTGTGACCAATATGAATAAGCTCAGGCTTCGTGTTAACAGCTATGATCATGTTTGAATAGATGCAGAGTGTCCTTGAGGTCTTTGATTATTTAGAAGGGATTATAACTGTGTTCTATATAATAGGAAGAAAAAAATAATATACCCTTTCCTTTAAGGATACAAGTCTTATACTTGTATTTTATTGACCAGAATTTAGTCATATGTCTACTCCTACATGAAATGGAGACATAGCTAGCATAATGTCTCTCGATGTTATTTAAAATATATGTAATTTTGTACAGGTATATTAAAGATAAGTCTTTATGTCATTAGCTTTGTATCATATATATTAAATCTCACTGAAATATTTAGTTGGTTAGTGTTAATTTAATGCTCTTTTATACAATATAGCAGTGTCTAGGATAGTGAGCCTTTTGGGCACTAACAGTATACCATCAGTGGGGAATCTTACACATACGAACTGGGTGAAATCTTTAATGTATTTGTTTCTGAAAACCAATGACTGTGAGAAGATAGCTTGTATGTCAAATAGAGTGTAAGGTACTAATACCTTACAAAATTAAGTGTCAGGAAAACACTAACCACAAATTCGATGTGACAGTAAATATAAACTACATAATATTGTATAATGAGTCTTTTAAAATCTTTGGTACATCCTTGCTATATTCCAGGTAAAGTATATCCTTGCAATGATAGCCACTATCATTATCTAAGCCAGGGGTCAGCAAAATTTTTCTGTAAAGAGACAATGAATATTTTAGGCTAGGGAATCAGTTTCTTTCTGAACTATACAAATCTGACAATGTAATATGAAAGCAGCCATAATAATGTATAAACAGATGAGACTGGCCATATTTCAAAGATAGTTCACTTATGGATACTGAATTTGAATTGAATGTAATTTTTATGTGTGAGGAAACATTTTCAGTGACTTAAAAATGTAAAACATATTCTTAGCTTTTGGGCCACACAAAAACTAGTAGCAAGGTACGTTTGACCTGCAGGCTATAACGCCTCATCTGAACTTCTTTCCTTCTTCCTTGCTTTCAAAATCTTGCATGCAACAAATCATGTACTTTAGAATATGCTAATCAGACCATCTAATTTGTTGTGTGTACTTAGAACATTCTCATTCTGTTAGCCCCTTTTATCCACTATATCCTTTCTTTGATTCTAGAAAAAGCTCACACAATAAACTAAAAGTCATAGCTGGCTTCAACTTTTACCTCTCCTCTGCTCCATTTTTGTTTGTTGTCTTATATTTACTGTCCAGCGTACTCCATTGATAGACTACTTGCCTTTCATTTTTTTTAAGATTTTACTAATTTTTTAAAAGATGTATTTGTAGTGTACCAAATTAATCCTTCTCACATCTTTGTTTTTGTTGTTCCCACTTGTCTTACTAGGGAGAATATCTATGTATCTGTAAAGATTTATTTTTGTCATATAGACTTCTCTATAAAGTCTGCCTCTAACTATTACCACTTCACCCACTAAAATTGGCTCTTTCCTGTTTTTGTCCTGCTCTTACTTATACCTACAACTTAGTTGCATTTTTTTCTTTATCCCTCTACCTTTCCAGACAATAAATCTGTTAGGGCTGTTTTAATCATTTTGGTGTCCAATTGTTTCTTTGGAGATATATCTACCTCCTCTGTAAGTACACTATTGTTGCTTAAATCAGATTCTCAGTGTGTTCCATCTTGTGGTCATTATAGCACCTGCTGTAATTGCCTTGCCCTCCCTCCTTCCCTCTCTTCCTTCCCTTCCTTCCTTCTATTGCCTTCCTTCTTTTTTCTTTCCTTCCTTCTTCCTTCCCTCCCTCCCTCTTTCCTTCCCTCTCTCTTCCTCTCTGTCTCTCCTTCCTTCCTTCTCTACTCTCTGTCTCTCTGTCTCTCTGTCTCTCTCTCTCTCTCTCTCTCTCTCTCTCTCTCCTTCCTCCCTCCCTCCCATCCTTCCTTCTTTCTTTCTGGTACTATACACACCCAGGGGTTCATATATGGTAGTCAAGTATTCTACCACTAAGCTAGATTCTCAATCTTCTTTTTTTTTCTTTAATCTGGACACCGATTTTAGTAAGTTGCCAGTGCTGACCTGTAACTCATTGACCCTCCTGCCTGTAACTCTAGTATCTACCTTAATGAGTAGGCTTGGATATAATTTCTGATGCATAAGCAAGTGATAAATATCCCACTTAGTACTAAAGTATGATGGAGAACAATTTTTATGTCATTTAAATTATAAAATTAATGTATTAAAGTCTAAAGATTGTCTCTTTTGTGCCATTTGAAACAGAGCATCCTGAAGATGTAGCTCCTACCATTGGATTTTCCAAAATTGACCTGAAACAAGGAAAATTTGAGGTCACCATCTTTGACTTGGGAGGCGGAAAAAGAATTCGGGGAATTTGGAAGAATTATTATGCAGAGTCCTATGGGGTAATATTTGTTGTGGATTCCAGTGATGAAGAAAGAATGGAAGAAACAAAAGAGACAATGTCAGAAGTGCTAAGACATCCTAGGATATCAGGAAAGCCTATATTGGTGTAAGTAACATATGTATTATTGTAAACCTAAAGGCTGTGACATTAGCCAATGAAGTAATTTATCTGCTACAAAATACTCATTAAGTGAAAATAATTATGTTCTGGTATAATAAAATGTATATAATTAACTATGAATTACTAATACACTAAGGCCTGCTTATAATATTGTCTGCAGGGATTAAGAGTTGAGGGTTGGGCTGCGGATATAGCTCAGTGGTACCTTGCCTGACTGGGAAGCACAAGGTCCTGAGTTCAATTTCTGGTACCAATTAAAAAAAAAAAGTTGGGGATCTATTATGAACAAACTTTATAATTAGATCTCCTGGGTATTCAAATATAAACACTGTTTTGCTTGATTTCATTTTTAGTGAATTTTGCCTTTTTGAAATAGTCTGTGAACAGAGCTCTAGAATATTTAAAAAATTTTTCCCCCTTTTAATAACATTTTTGTGTTTCTTTTTTGGGGGGAGAGTATTTGTCTTTGAAAATTATTTAAATGATTTATTATATCATTTTGTCCTGATGCCTAAACAGTTTTCTTTTCTTTTTTTTTTTTTGGTACTGGGGATCAAACTCGGGACCTTGCCCTTATGAAGCAGATGGCAGAACCACTGAGCTAAATCCCCAGCGCCTAAACAGTTTTTAACATCTGACAATAGACTTTTGCATTCATAGTATTTAGGCATAGTAAACACAAGATGGCGCTATAACTATGAGGCACAATATGCAATTACTCTAAATTGTTCTTTAACTGAATATTTGCCTTTGCCATCTTGTCTCTTTTTCCTTATTCTTGTGATTCATTACAAGTCCAGTTTATGTGATTAGATGAAAAATTATAAGTATAGTTTCTCAGTGGTCTTCAGTAGTAATCGAAGTTTTTTAAATGCAACAGTTTGAGAGCTTTAATTATAAAAGTCAGAACTTTATCACATCACTTATTGATAAAGTTTATTCCTCAAAACTTTTGTACATTTAACCTAGAGAAATTACTTGAGTTATATTATCAATTCTCACTTTATTGAATCTAAAGTTATTCTTGATAGTGGTATATATGAAAAGTGAACTTTGTTGACACCGTAGTTTATATTAGTCTCTATAAATGGTTAAACAGAGTCCGTAATTTCTAAAGGACAAAACACTAATGACTGTTAGTCCTTGGTAAAATAATTGTGTGTCCAGTTTAACCAAATAGTCTTTAATTTATTGTTTCTTATTCTTTTGTGCATTTATTCATTCATGCATATACAAATTCAACACATATTTTTTGAGTACCTACTGTGGTAAAGGTATGTGTTTGAGAATAAAAACTACACTTCTGGATCTTAAATTCTAGGGAGAAAATTACACAATAAATAAAATTAATAAATCATGTCATATATTGTGATGAGTGTGTTGAAAACAGTATATCACATAAAGGGAGATCAGGAAGCATATGGTGGGGTGAAGACAAGAACATAGTGCTCTCATAATTAAGATAATCATTGTAGCCGGGTGTGGTGGCACATGCCTGTAATCCCAGCACTCAGGAGGCTGAGGCAGGAGATTCGCTGTGAGTTCCAGACCAGCTTGGACTATATAGTGAGTTTCAGGTCAGTCTCAACTACATAGGGAGACCCTTTCTCAAAAAAAAAAACCCAAACAAACAAACAAACAAAGAGATAATCATTGTAGGCTTTAGTTAGCACATGACACTTTGAAGTAAGAGAGTCGGTCATATAGATGTCTGTAGAAAAGCCCCAGAGCAACAGTATGCAATTGTTAAGTAACCACAAATACTACTGAATAGTCACATAACTGTCAGCAAAATATATGCTTTTTGTTCTGTCATCACTCTCAGCTACTGAGTTTCTAAGTAGAACAAACAAACAAGCAAACAAACATAACTATGGATATTGATTCACCAATATAATTTTGTAGTAGGTGAGAACTCACGAAGACATCAGAATATATTGTTGATATTATAATATTTTTAGGAAATATAGGGTGCTTCGCCATTTGACCAATTTTTTCATGGAAGTTTTCTAAGTATGTTTTAATTTTAATATAGTAATTATACATGTCTATGAGTCATGGTGTAACATTTCAGTACATGCATATACCGCATAATGATTAGATCAGAGTAACTGGAATATATGTCAATTCAGAGATTTATCATTTCTTTGGGTTCAGAACATTCAAAATGTTCCCTACTACCTACTTTGAAATATTCAGTTGATTGTTGTGAACCATAGTCATCCTTCTGTCCAGAGTACTGCACCTTTGCATCTATTAATGATGCTCTTCCCTCCTTCTTCTTTGCCATACTCTTTCCAATCTCAGGTAGCCATTGTTTTTTCTTTATTTCTTTGAGATCAACATTTTAGCTTTAAAATATAAGTATTGGTCTATGCCTGACATTTTACTTGACACAGTGTGCTCTAGTTAAATTTACGTCGGCACAAATGACAGGATTTTATTTTTTTATGATGAAATAATGTCTCCCTGTACATTTTGATTTATATCTAGATGTCCCCCGAAAGCTTCATGTGCTTATAGTGGGGCTTTTGGAAGGTGACAGAATCATGGAGGTGATATGGCTGACTTGCCATCAGGAGCTGGGATCTAATTGGAAGAGGCAGGTCACTGGGCTGTGTGACCTGGAAGGGTATATTTCCATTCCTGGCCCCTTGCTTCTCTCAGTACCTCCTGTCATCATAATGTGAGCAGCTTTCCTCCTCTACGCTTCTGCCTGGAGCCATTGGATGATATGATGACTAAGATGTCTGAAACTGAGACAAAATAAACCCCTCCTCCTTTAAATTGTAGGTGTCAGGTATTTTGTCCCAGACAGAAGAAAGTGACTAAGACTACACTTTTTTTTTAATCCATTCATCTGTCCATGAACATCTTGGGTGATTGCATATCTGTATTGTGAATAGTGCTGTAATAAACATAGGTGTACAATATCTCTTTGAAATACTAATTTCAATTTTTTGGATATATACTCAGTAGTGGGATTGCTGGATCATATTGAAGTTTTACTTAATAGTGTTGGTTATTTTTTGTCATTAATAATAGCCATTTTAACTAGGGTGATATGATACATCATATCTCATTTTAGTTTTTATTTGTATTTCCCTGACAATTAGTGATGTAGACCATAGTTTGTTACTTTTTGTTGACCATTTGTATATCCCTTTTTTAGAAATATTAGGCCAGGCGTGGTAGCTCATGCCTATAATCCCAGCACTCGGGAGGCTGAGGCAGGAGAATCGCTATGAGGTGGAGACCAGTCTGGACTACATAGTGAGTTCCAGGTCAGTCTCAACTACATAGTGAGACCCCGTGTCTCAGAACCAAAAAAGCAAACAAAACAAAACACATAAATTAATGAACTAAAAATCAGGCATGGCTAGCCTAACAAAAAGTGGAACCCTGCTTAAAAAAAAAAAAAAAAAAGAAAAGAAATATGTTCCATTCAGTTGCCCATTTTTAAACTGTATTATTTAGAGCTTTTTCCTAGTAAGTTGTTGGAGTTTCTTATATATTCTGGTAAATAAACCCTTGTCAGATAAATAGTTGACAAATATTTTCTCCCATTCATTGGGTTGTCTTTTCACTCTGTTGATTTCCTTTGCTATACAGAAGCTTTTAAGTTTGTTGCAATCACCACTGGTCATTTTTTTGCTTATGTTGTGTTTACCTTTGAGATTATATCCAAAAAATCTTTGCCCACAATAATGTCCTGAAATGTTTCTTCTGTTTTCTTCCAGTGGTTTTTATCATTTTAGATTGTACATTTAAATTTCTGATCCATTTTGAGTTGATTTTTGTATATGGTGAGAAAGGTCTAGTTTCTATTTTCTACAAATGGATCATTATTCTGAGCACTGTTTGTTGAAGAGGCTTTTCTTTCTTTGATATATATTATTGCTACCTTTGTTGAAAATCAGATGGTTATAAATATATTGGTTGGTTTCTGGGTTCTGTATTCTGTTCAGGTTTTCTATGTGACAGTATCGTGCTGTTTTGGGAAGAAAAACTTTTGAAGCCAGGCATATAAAGCTTCCATCTTTGTTATTTTTTGGTCAGGATTGCTTTGGCTGTTTGGGGTGTTTTTGGTTCCATAAAAATTTTAGGAGTGTTTTCTTTTATCCTATTGTTTTGAAGAATGTCATTGGCTTTTGAAGGACTGAATTAGATCTATAGATCACTTTGGGTACTATGGACATTTTAACAGTATTAAATCTTCCAATTCATGAACACTGGATAGTTTTGTGTCTTCCATTTCTTTCATCATTGTTTTGTAATTTTCACTTTAGAAATCAGTTACTTCCTTAGTCAAATTTATTGCTAGGTTTTCTTTTGGAGGGAGGGCTCTCTGAATGGGACTGATTTCTTGATTTTTCTCAGCTTGCTTGCTTGCTTACTTGTCTGTCTATCTATCTATATAGTACAAAAAAGCTGCTGACATTGATTTTGTATCCTAGAACTTCACTGAATTTTTTTAAATCAGTTGTGTTGCTTTTTATTTGATGGGATCTTTAGGTTTTTCTACATGTAAGATCATGTTATATGTACACAAGGATAATTTAATCACTTCTTGTGTCATTTGAATGTCCTTTATTTCTTCCTCTTGCCTTATTCTTTTAACTAGAACTCCCAATAGTATATGGAATAAGAGTGATGAAAATGGATATTCTTATCTTGTTCCAGATCTTAGAGGAAGTGATTTCAGCTTTCTCCACTCAGTGCGATGTTAGGGAAAGGTTAGTTTTACATAGCCTTTTTTTGTGTTGAGGTACATTTCTTCAGTACATGTACTTAGTTTTTTGAGAGTTTTTTGGTTTTGTTTTGTTTTTTAATGAAGTGATGTTGAATTTTTTTGAAAGCTTTTATTTAAAACGTATTGAAATCACAATAAGGCTTTTGTCTTTCATTCTGTAGATGTATTGTGTTATTAATTTTCATATGTAACATATTTATTATGCATATATAAATGTATTATTGATTTGTAT